GTACTTATTTGTCATGATTTTTTCCAAATTTGTAGGTTGCCTTTTCACTTTATTGGTAATTTCTTTTGACGTGAAAAAACTTCTCAGTAAGAGCAGATCCGAGTTGTTAAGTCTTTCAACTGTTACCCATGCGATTTGACAATCACACTTTTTTCATTCCTCTAAAATTGTGTCCTTCAGTCAGAGCCATGTGGGACTTAGAAAATTCTAGAGAGTTGAGTCAGCTAGGCTAGGGAGATAGCTAGGCAGTCTAAGCACCTGCCTGGCAAACACAAGGACCTGGGTTTGATCCCCAGTACCACATGCCATGCCATCCCCAGAACCCATGCTGACCACCAAAGCCAGTCATGGTGGCACACACCTGTAATCCCAGCGCTGGAAAGGCTGGGCCAGGAGGATCATGACTGAGCTGCATAGCAAGACCCTGTATGAAATAAATAAATAATTTTAAAAACATTTAAAAAGAATTGAGCCAGCTATCAGTAGTGCTTGTCAAAACACTCGGTGACTCTGAGCCCTCTCAGTAGAAGTCCTGCCGCTTCAGTTTCCAGGCTAAGCTAAGTGCACCTGTACCCTATGCTGGTCGGTGTTTATGTTAATGTTTGCCAGTGGATGGCTGCTGAAACCAGAGCCTGAAGGGCCCAGCTTGAGTCAGTATGCCTCCCTGGTGCATAGCCCTCTGCCCCTGCCTAGCATCAAAGAAAATGAAAAACCCAGGTTTAGCTCAGTTCTGAGAAATGTGAATGTGTAACATGGCCTTTCTTGATCATCTTCACATTAGAGAAGTGGAAGCTCATTTCATGAATGTGCCTTTTATTTACACAGAAACAAAACCCCAACTGATTAAGTAGTGCTTCCCAAGTGCCAAAATGGACACAATTGCCCAATTGCTCAAATAGATTCTGATCCAGAGAGTCTGGGCCAGGGTATCCCAGTCGTGGCCCTGTGCACTGCCATTGGCTCCCAGGCTGTAGTTGGGTTGTAAGGACGACCCTTACCACGTCCTCATAGCCACTCCGGTGGAGCACGCAGCAGTGGATCAGCTCGTGGATATCTCCTCCAACCATCAGTTGGAGTGTTTTCCTTCTAAACCTCTGCTTATACCCAGTTACCAATTCCCAGATAAAACAAAAACAATCCATCATCACACTCTCTAATACTCTTGCTCCCCTTTAGTTATAAATAAATTGTTTAACAAGCAAGGGACAGGGTCAAAGTTCAGCAACAGAGAGGATGTCCGAGGCCTGGCAGGCTGCACTGGCTCACAGCAGGGCCCGTGCTCTCTTTCTGCCTTCCTCGCAGTGCCCACACACAGCCTTGACAACTTAGCTGTAGTTTCAGATACACTGTTCTCTCAGTGCCCGTCCTTTGCACAAACACCTCCCTGGAACACCCAGATTTCTCCCCAACTAGTTTCTCCCCTTATGATGTAAGACCAAATATCAAGTTTCAACATTCTGTGTGCCTTCACATCTGGTAAAATCTAGAGCAGTGGCAGCAAATCTATGGCATATGTGTCACAGCAGGCTGTTTGTATCATCGAAAGCCCTAAAAGGGTCACCGTCACTGAGGTAGAGAGTTTGCAGGTGCCCTTCCCATTCTGCTTGACATTAAGTTTCCTTGACATCAGGATCCTGATCATGAGAACAGGGGTAGCTCCTGTTTGTCTTCACTGAGTGCCTTCAGGTCCCTCCCTGGCAGCCTGCATGCTTATTCAAACAAGCCAGTCACATCTTCTCACAGGAAGTAGGGTTCAGCCCATTCTCTTGTTACTAGCAGCCTACCTCCTTGGCCCTGGTGCAGACTCTACTTGCCCTATGCAGCACAGTGTCCCCCTCCTCAGACCATGAGTATATGTGACTGATAAACTGCCATCCCTCTCACCTGACGGCTTTTGCATGTTCAGTCTTCTCTGTGACCCTCAGTGGGACTCCCTCCCTTGTGAAGAGGAAATAGCCAAAAGACCCTTCCAGGGAATCTTCCTTCATCTTTCTCTTTGGGCTTCAGAGCCACCTCCTCCATGTCCCCATGTTCTCTGTCCATCACTTAGTGCAGGTTTTGGCCCCCCTAAAGTGAGCTGCTCGGGCTGGCCTCATGGCCTAGTTGCTGCTGCATTCTCAAGGCCTGCCATAGAGCCTCCCATATGCTCAGAAAAAAATGTCGAATTAATGAATGAATGAGTGAGCCAGATGTGGTGGCACACACACACACACACACACACACACACACACACACACGTAACCCTAGCTACTCTGGAGGCTGAGGCAAGGAGTTTCATGCCAGCCTTGGGTGACATAGCAAGGCCCTGTCTCAAAATTAAAAGGAATGAAAGGGACAGGATATAGCTTAGTGGTAGAGTACCCTGGGTTTAATTCCCAATATTAAAAAAAAAAAGAAAAAAAGAATGGAGAATTTTTTGTTAACATCTAAACTCCAATTATTCTGTTTCCTAAAACACTGACATTGTATATAAGTAATGATTTGGGTGCTCTAGCTGGGGCATTTTACCTCTCGTGTAAAGGTTCTGGTTTACAGAGGAAATGTCTCAGCATGTTGTTTTTCCATTACACAATCCCCTTAGAGCATGGTAGACAGTCAACTAAGGACAGGCTGATGGCTCTGGAGGCCTACTACAAGGCCGCCCTGAAGCCTGTGTCTTGTGTGTTATTAAATACTGAGCCACGTTTATTGGCCTTTCTCTCAGGACAGCCTTTCATGAGAAACCTTTTTTCCTGGTCCTGAGGGATCAATCCTCTGGCCATTATGAGACTAGTGTTTTGCAGCGTTCAGATCAATAAGATATAGGGGCTCCTTTTTGAGCATTTATGCCTTTTCGTGTAATATGAGAGTGATCTTTCAAGGCAGAGAGGAGCTGAGGCCATTCACTTTTCATTCATCATTGGAGATCTTAGGACCAGCATGGATTACTTTTATCAATGAAAAATAAATAAATACAGAGCAGGGAGGAGTATCCTCTATGATCTGGCCACCCATTTAGCTATAAGAAGACTTTTTGACTAGTGATGCATTGTAGAAGACACATTCTCATCACAGGTCTAGAAAAATTGTTGAGTCACATGTTGTTCCCTTCAGTCAGCACAGCTGAAGCCATTGGTAGGGAACCCTGTGTCCCCAGAGCAGGCTACAACACCCCTCTTTCCACTCTGGGTTCAGTCTACAGCAGCACTCAATTTCTTTTCATTTACAATAACAAATGCATTTTTAAGTAAACACTTCCTCAATAACAGCTTCCCACATCTAAATTACACTTTAAGTTGAAATTTCAAACCAAGCCACCTTTTAAGCAACTATAATATATTTACCAAGATTGTTATTAAAGTTGGTATTTGTAGAATCTCACTGTGTTGAATTAAGATTTCTGCTGCTTACAAGGAAAGGTGCCAAGAGTAGAGAGTGTATATGTGCAAGCGCTTTAGATATTGTATATTATTTTATAAATATAGCATGCTATTGTTCTTATTGCTAATGTTATGGGTAAATACATTTTAGTCCTAGGGCTTCCCTTGCCTTTTCTATGTGGGAAATGTAAACTAATGAGGATTGTTTTTAATCTTCTTTAGGGAAAAGGTTATTTGCATTAACTCTGAAAACAGTGCCTTCTGGCAAAGTAACAGGTGTTTTGAGTAACAGATATTTTGTCCTTAGGGAAAGAATATGGCAAAGCTGATTCAAGGTGGCTTTATCTTGATCCAACCATTGTGTCAGTGGAAATTTTGACTGTTGTCTTGGATGGGTTTCTGGCATTGGTCCTTATTTATGCCATAGTCAAAGAGAAATATTACAGGTAAGTGATTTTCTTCTGTGGGGCTGAAAAGGAGAGAAACATTAGCTGTCCTAATGGCTAAGTAACATTTAGAGCAAGTTGTGACCTCACTTATTTGTGGGATAAAAGTAGAATAGAAATGAAAATTGTTTAATATTAGATAAGGATCATGGTGTCACTAGGATAATTTTGTACCATTTGAAATTAAAAAATAGCAGAAATAAGATTCCGTAGCACCATTATTGCTTCTACAGACAATATTGGGTGAGTGACCACTGTATTAGTTCCTTTCCCATCTCAAGGACAAAATACCTGACACCTGAAACTTAAAGAAGAGGTTGACTTGGCTCATGGCATCAGATGATTCAGGCCATGTGTGTTCAGCTGGCTCCAAGGCACAAATGGCGGGGTAGAAAAGATGGTAGAGGAAAGCTGCTCCACACATGGCAGCCAGAAAGCATAGAGTGAGAAAAGAGGAACTGAGAACAAGAATATACCCTTCCAGGCTGGGCGAGGTGGTGCACACTTGTAATCCTAGTGCTTCGAAGGCTGGGCCAGAAGGAGGACTGACACAAGTTCAAGGCCAGCCAGGACTACCTAATAAGTTCAGGACCATCCCAAACTACATAGTGAGGGTCTGTCTCAGAACAAGAAAACAAAAGCTGGATGTGGTAGAGTAAGCTTATAATTCCAGCACCAGAAGGCTGAGGTAAGAGGATTGCTTTGAGTTTGAGTCCAGTCTGGGCTATGTAGTGAATTCAAGGCCAGCATGAACTGTATAGAAAGACTCTGTCTCAAAAAAGAAAAGAAAAGAAAAAGAGACAAAATGAACACACCATTCCAAATCATGCCCCTGGTGATCCACTGCCAACCAGGCCCCACCTCCTAATAGCTCATTCAGGTATGAACTCATCAGTGAATTAATGCCCCCATGATTCAGTTCAAAGGCCCCACCTCTGAACACATGAGACTTTTGGAGGACAATTTATATCTAAACCATGACAAACACCAGTATTTTGGAGACCAAAAAAAGCACAATAGTTCCATCTTCTTTCCCCAAAATCACTTTGGGAAACACCTATCACCCACTTGCCGTACAGTAAGTTCTGCTGCGTACTTCTGAGCTACACATGAAAGATAAATAAGAGATCTTTTCAGAAGCAGGTTGAGGAGGGCATAGAAAGGCAAATGGTAGAAAGAAGGAGGAGAAAGCTGAAAAATTAACCATGCTCTGAGTCAGACTCAAAGATTTTAAACTCCCTTCCTTCCCTTTTCTTTCCTTGAGAGGGCCAGCATGGCTTGGAGTGGCAATCCTGAGCATGATTCGCTGAAACAGTGTCTGGTAGCACAACTGCATTCTATTTTCTACTGTCTTACATTGAAGAAGTACTATGTAAAACTTCATTATAAAATCTCAGATTTGAAAGAGGTCTTGAAGGCCACTTAACCCACCTTAAGCCAACCTAGTTTTCAAATAGCAGCAAAAATTAAACTTATCCTTGATGCCTTGACAATTTTGGCTCTATGACCAGACTGCAGATTTGCTACATGCACCCGTTACCAGAAATGTTTATAGTTGCATCATGGAATACTCACTGTGTGCCAGGTACAGTGTTTGGCCCTCTACCTACATATCTCATTCAATCTCTGCAGCACTCTTTGAGGAAAGGCTCTTATTGTTCCCTCTTACAGTAAGTGATCCTGGGGCTCATGGAGAGATACATATCTAGGTCTTCCCTTTACTGGGCTAGATGTGGCCCCAGTAAATCTTCTTCAGAATAGTCCAGGATATCCCAGAGCCCTTAGTTAATTCAGAGAAAGATATGCTATGAAGATCAGTATAGCTTTTGCAAGGCAAGAATGAGTCCTCATTTGTTAGATTGACTTGCCTGCCCATCGAAGGAACACTACACGAAGCCTGAGGGTCAACTTCAGAGAGGTGTTTGTCATGAAGACTGCAGCAAAAGCTGCCCTTAGAAAAGATGCCCTAATTCAGGGTGTGAATGGTGTCGAGATGGCAGTTTCATTCTTTGCTTCTTTCTCTCCAACAGGCATTTCGTACAAGTTACCCTGTGCATATGTGAACTATATGGAGACTGGATGACCTTCTGCCCAGAGTGGCTTATGGGAAGCCCTAACCTCAATACCAACAGTTGGCTGTACTTTTGGGTCTACCTAGTATTTTTTAATGGTGTGTGGGTTCTAATTCCAGGACTGCTGCTGTGGCAGTCATGGCTAGAACTCAAGAAAATGCATCACAAAGGAACCATTGTAGAGAAAAAGAAAAAGTCTTGGTAAATTTTCAAAATCATGAGCACTACCACCTTTCTTTCTTCTTTGTTTGTTTCTTTCTTTCTTTCTTTTTTCTTTCTTTCTTTCTTTCTTTCTTTCTTTCTTTCTTTCTTTCTTTCTTTCTTTCTTTTTTTTTTCTTTTTCCTCAGGACCTAGTGCTTGCCTGGCAGGTACTACTGTCTTTCTATAAGAGCCAGAATGGATCAAACAATTCAGTATACACTGTCTTTTTATATTGTTCTGACCAATCTGTTTTGAACTGGTTGTAAGGTGGCAAGTTCTTTTTATTTTTTTTAATTAAATGACTATATAAGGAAAAAAAAAAGTGGACTGGGCATATAACTCAGTGCTAGGGTGCTTGGTTAGCATCTGCAGGGCCTTCCCAGAACTATAAAAAAGGGCAGGGTGAAGAGAATTCATTTCAAATTTACCTTATAATAACATCACATTTAGTTATAACTTTCTTGTCTTGTGGCTGGTATTAATTATCCATATTAATAGAGCCAGTTATAGTAGAACATTATAGAAAGTATTACATTAATTTTTATTCCAGAGAACTTGTTGTTTCTTCTTTTAATCTTTTAGTGATCTCTTTTGGGTTACCTTTGTAAAACCAGAATAAAATGAATACTTCTGTGGTGCATTCATACCCTGAGTTACAAACCAGCAAAGACAGTTGCTACTCAAAGCAATGTGGGTGAATTTCGTAGGCCTCATAAATAAAGAAGGCCTGGTGAGATTTTTGGACTTATGTGCAAACATGAGAAGCATAGAATTCTTTATCCTATT